GAACTGCCACCATTCTATTTCTGGAGGAAAGAGAAGAACAGCCACCTCAGACCTGTCTCCAAAGAGCTCTGTATCAGCAGACCCTGTTGGTGTTTTGAATCCTGTTGCATTTTGTATCTACTTCAGATGTTCCATCCAAAAAGCTAAAGAAATATGTTTTGTAAAGTAATTTAAGAAATTGTTTTAATTTTTAATTTTTTTAGGTAAGCTTCTACCCCTATCTTGTATAACAGTACTGTACAAATTGCAAGAGTTTTGCCTGATTAAAATAACTGTATTAATATTCTTTCCTTATTCTTTACACCTGTGTTGATTTCAAATAATTAAAGACCAAAAGATGAATTATGCTCACATTTGAAGCCAGCAAATTTACTCTGGATTTACACTAGTTTCAATGATAGTGGAATTTATGGAATTTACCACATGAAACCCATGTTTGGAATAATGATTTTTCCGGTAGAATTTCTGTATCTCACACATTGTTTTAATTGACTGATTAATAAATAATATTTCATTAATAATATTGCATCAATATACATGTGCATTTTAGCTAAATTATTGATTTTGTTGTTTTATTAGTTGTCTCTGAGACAGAAGTTATATTAAAAGATCTAGAACAAATTCTCAGGTGTGTTGCAGACCCTTTTAAAACAGCTGGCGGGTCATATGGAAATGCAGAGGGAAAAGATATAGGAGAAAAGGTATGAATTATACATGGTGTTGCTACTAACTAGTTACTGGAAACTTTTACTTTTAGTGGAATTTATGCTAATGCTTAAGAAAAACTTAAATATAGTTTAATGACTATATAAACTGCTTCTGAAAATAACGTATACTGCTCACTTTTTGAATGCTATGTATGTAATTAGTTATAATACTGATATACAATAAAATTGTTAAAAGAGCATATTTAATGCAAACCATTATACTGTATCCTACCTTTGAACAGAAGATATTGGAAATTAATATTCATGGTTGAAATTCCAGTCTCAGGGAGATGCATCCACTTATATCCCCATTATTAATTATACTGCAGATATCTGTATGTGTGTAATGTAATGTAGATCTCATTTAGAATACTTATATGCCTATATTTCAAATTTTGCATTTGTATATTTATCTAGGAAATGGTCTTTAGAGATCTGCACATTCCCTGCACATGATCCAGGGTAACTCCTCTATATAAGTGCAAAAAAACCCACCACTGTATCAGATCATCTTTGCATGATTGTCCACATTTATCCCACTACTGGTGCACATGCACAACATTTGTGTGTGTGTGTGCAATTTTTTGTTAAATAGCATTGCCTTTCAGGGTCATCTTTGCACTCTCCAGTGCTCCATATCAGCGATCATAAGGAAGTGACCTTCAGTTCCTTCTTACAGCCTAGGGCTGCAAGATGGAACACCTATAGGCTGTGTCTACATTGGCACCCTTTTCCGGAAAAGGGATGCTAATGAGACACTTCGGAATTGCAAATGCCACGGGGGATTTAAATATCCCCCGCGGCATTTGCATGAACATGGCTGCCGCTTTTTTCCGGCTTGGGGCTTTGCCGGAGAAAAGCGCCAGTCTAGACGGGATCTTTTGGAAAATAAAGCCTTTTCCGGAAGATCCCTTATTCCTCTTAGAATCCTTTTGTAGCACTACTGTACCAGCAGAGGAGCAACTAGGCACACAAAAAAAAAGCATCATCTTCAGAAATATCAAAAGCAGAGTTGCTGCTCTCCTCCGACTTCCTCTTTCCTGTTTATAATGACTCAGCAGAACTGCTGCATGACTTGAGCAGGGGGAATTTTACTGATTAGCTATATATAACTTTAAGTTCACTAGTTGTATCCAGGCACTTCTCTCTCCCCAACCTTCCATCAAGATAATAACTCCATACTGATGCAGATAGAAGATGGAGTACCCCAATTTCCCACAACTAGAAACTATTTCTTAGGAATATAGGGGTTGACCAGAGGTCTATCTGGTCCAGTATCTTGACCTAGACCAGGTGCTTCAGAGGAAGGTTTAAGAATCCAGTAGTGATCCAATGTGGGATAATCTGTTCCCTCTATTAGGGGCCAGATTACAAAGGTATTTGGGCATCTAAAGGTACAAATAGCTCTTGGTGGTGTTTACTAAAGCACCTAGGTAGGCTAAAACAAAATACAGGACTATGTAGCACTTTAAAGACTAACAAGATGGTTTATTAGATGATGAGCTTTCGTGGGCCAGACCCACTTCCTCAGATCAAATAATGGAAGAAAATAGTCACAACCATATATACCAAAGGATACAAGAAAATTCTCCCATCACCCTAGCTACCATCTCTTGAGAGAGGTGTAATACCTACATCAAAAGTAAAGCCCCTCCCATCAGCAAACAGTGTCTTCACAACAGCCTTTTAAGTGTACACAACCCCTCAAGTGACATTAAAAAGGAGCACAGTCACTCCAGGACATACAAGAGGCTGCTGTAATGAAGTCTAATCTGACTTCAGTAGCTATTTGCAATCAAATGTGTCTGCTAGTTAATAATTTGCACAACTGCAAACATTAGAAACAAGTTATACATTGAAGTGAATAATTTTCAATAGCTGGTATCAATCAGATTTTTCTTTCATATATTGGAAGCCTTTCTAAAGCTATAGTTCAGCCCTGCATAGAGATTAAAATTACCAAACAAAAAAATTAATGCAATCTAAACAATGAATGGTTCTTTCCTTCCGGCACATGATAGCATAGATTATATTTCTGGAGGCGCAGGAATATGTATTCTTGATCTTGTAACTCACTTGGTTAGGCCCAATAATGGTGTCAGCAGAGTGAATATGAGGACAAAGCTGGCAGCGGGGTTTGTTGCAAGGGAAGGTACCAGGGTTGGTATTAGTGTGGTATGTCCTGTGGTTGTTGGTAAGAATCATCTTGGTAAGATGTTGTTGTTGTTAAGAATCATCAACTACAAAACAATGCATTCCACAGCTAGACAAGAGAAATGTAGGAGTGTATTTTCTTCTAGACAGTCTTCTCCCACTAGCTCATACTATGAGCATTACAAGTGTAGATGCTCTTATGACCGTCCACCCCATTGGATGACACAGTACCATTATCCACCGGCCTACCCAGACACTGGTCACCATGCTGTTACCGCTCTGCCTTGAGACACCAGTCTACAGTTTTTTCCACACTGGCTGACAGGCGACCCATCTCACCACCTCATGTGAGTACCTCTCCTCACCCTTAACAAGCTGATCTAGAGGAGGGACAAATATCCAAGCCTGAGGAACAACAGCCTCATACCTTGCCCACTGACCAGTCCTCCTTGTCCCCAGATGAGGCAGTGATCCCAGGTGAAACTTCACCTATGGATGAACTTAAGCAGTATTGGGACTTGTTTAAAAGAGTGGCTGCTACTCAGGAGGTCCACCTAACCAAGGCACAAGAGAAACAACATTGTCTCCTTCAAAACCTCCAACCCTTCCTACAGGCCAAAATTGCATTGCCCATTGATGAAACCATTATGGAAGCCACTGAGGAAATCTGGCAGGCCCCAGCTTCTGCCCTGATCACCAACAAATGGGCTGACAAGAAATACTTTGTCCCTTCCAAAGGCATGGACTTCTTATTTTACCACCCTCAATCAAACTCCATGGTGGTGGACACAGCCCAACAGAAGTCTAAATTACCGAAGAGAGTAAGCGTATGAACCTCTTTGGTCGGAAAATGTGTTCATCATCGACTCTAGAACTTCATATTGCAAATTGCTTGGCCCATGTAGCGAATCATGATTTTGATAATTATTCCAAACTTGCTGGACTCATTGATCACCTATCTCATAATAAAAGACCTATTCCCAAGTCTATTTTTCAAGAGGGCTATGCCACTGCACAAACCTCTCTTCAAGTGGCTCTGGATGTCACCGATACAGCGGCACACTCCAGTGCAACCTCAATAACGATGCACAGAGCGTCTTGGCTTCAAGCTGCTGGGGTCCCATGAGAGCTGCAATCTAAAGTAGAGGACCTCCCATGTGACAAAAAAAATTGTTTGCAGAAAAGACCAATGAGGTCCTCCACACAAGGAGAGTTTTGAGAACAACCTTGCGTACATGAGGGGTGTACACTTTCTTACTTTTCTTACTCTTGATGCCTTCACGGAGGATTAGACTAATTCTGTGTGAGACAGCAGCCTCAGAGGAGATGTCTGCAAAACAACTGCACCACTAAACAACAGGCAAACAAACAACAGGTTTGAGGCATTGGTCGAGGGCATGCAAGACCTCCCCCTTACACATTCACACCATGAACAGGTTATCCTTTTTCACCACTTCTTGAGACCATTCTGTCACCATTGTGCTACCATTACATTGGAACGCTGGTCAAGATTGTCACATATGGCTACACTATCCCATGTACATCGTTTCCCCCATCTTGCCCAACCATCCCATCCCTCTTCAGGGACCCCTCTCATGAAGATCTATTAAAAGAGGAGGTCCCCTGACTCCTTTCCATCAGAGCAGTAGAGAGGGTACCAGGTGAGTTCAGAGGCAAAGGCTTCTATTCTTACTACTTTCTCACACAGAGAAGGACGTGTGGTTGGAGACCCATTCTTGACCTTCACAATCTCAACTGATACCTTTGCAGTCAGTGGTTCAAAATGGTTAACCTAGCTGATCATCCCAGTGCAGGACTAGGGGGGGGATGACTGGTTTGCAGCCCTTGACCTACAAGTTGCCTATTTCCATGTCACAATCCATCCTGCTCACAGACGATTCCTTCGATTCACTCTTCAGCTGACATAGTCTCTGGACTTGAAGGTGCCTGATTAGACTCCACTATGCTGCAGGCCTACTTCCTGATGCAAAGGTTCCAGACTATATATGATCTGTTTGCAGATGTTACCATGAGACCTTCAGTGCCAATACTTACCTGGGCCAACTTATGCCAGCAACAACATACGTAGTACACTATGCATGACTACATTTTTTATGCCTCCAACATTAGCTGGCATCTGTATATGGCCCTTCCAGGCTCCATATCCACAAACATGTCTCCCTCCCACCCAATGTGTTCACTTCCCTCAATTGGTGGGTTGAACCATACAATCTACTAGTGGGGGTCCCATTCCACTGAGTCAGCCGTATTGTACAGATCACCACAGATGCCCACCTGTTGGATGGGGTGCTCACTTGGATAGTCTTGCTCAGGGTCAATGGTCTGCAGGAGAAACAGCCCTCCACATAAATCTTTTGGAATTGAGAGTGGTTGCTAACACATGCAAGCACTTCTGTACACCCTTTACAACTCCACTGTTAGGATACTTACCGACAATATAAAAACAATGCATTATATTGTCAGGCTAGTGCCTGGTCCTGTTCTCTGTGCACTGAAGCAGTATGTTTATGGAATTGGTACATCCACATCAAAGTAATCTTGGTTGCATTGTACCTACCTGGTATCAACAATTCCACAGTGGACGCATTGAGCAGGCACTTTGCACCAGATCACAAGTGGGAATTACATCAAGTGCTTCAATCTATCTCCTGTCATTGGGGCTTTCCCCAAATAGATCTGTTTGCCTCCCACAAGAATGCCAAGTGCCCATACTACTGCTCCTGGGCCGGAGTTGGCCCCAGATTGCTGGGGGATACCTTTCTCCTCAACTATAGGGGTCCTCTACTCTATATGTTCCCACCAACCCCTCTCATCCCAAG